CCTCATAAAACTGTACTTAAAGATTTTTTCCCCAGCATGCGTGGTCATACCACGTATCCAAAGAGCTTTAACAAAGTTTATTAAAGCTTCTTGCACGTATAACATTAATATCGCAAGCAGAATTTTTAAAAAAAAAAGAAAAGTTGTAGTTTATGTTTTAGATATGTTTTTTTTTTAATTTTATTACTATAATTTATTACGATAATCGTCATATGCCTCAGGGCACCATCAATTAAACAAGGGCACAAATGCGGCCCTTGTTTGATTGACTACATTTGAATGTAGGGTTAAAAAATGAGACAAAAATGCAGTATAAAAAATTAAGATTTTTAAATAACTTGTTTTTATTGTATTTATAATAAAACGGCATACAATTCTTCTAGTCCTTTCTTCAACATAAACTTATACAAGAATCCATATTTAATAAAAAAATTCTTCCAATTTCCTTTTTTAACTATAAACTAGACAACACAGTTTGCGATTCATAATAAGATTTAATAAATTTGGAAAGTAACATGAAAATTTTAAAATGAATAAGTACTAGATTCTTATAAAATACAGGAATGGAGGAAAAAAAAAAGTAATGGAGGAACTGATGTATATATGAGACACAAAATTTGTTTGAAATTAGAAAATTGAAATCTGAGCTAAATGCAGCAAATAATAAATTAAAATCTTCTAGTTCTATCAATCTTTAGGTTCGGATAATAAAAAATAGTAGTAAAAAACTTAAAAAACCAGTTAAACAAAAGAGAAAAAAGAAAAAAAAATATCACTGTCTATGAGTAATTGAATAAAATATATATATATATATATATATATATATATATATATATATATATATATATATATATATATATATATATATATATATATATATATATATATATGTATATATATACAGTCCCATGACAATTTATTAGTGCCACCAATATTTTTTTCATATTTTCTTATTCAAGTTGAATTTAACAATTGAAAAGTAATGTTATATATTTTAAATGTATTATTTATAAGAAGTCAATTATGTATAAAGTTAATTTCTTCAGATTTTTTTTTTACTATTGGCATCCCTGACATTTCTGGAAGCCATCTTGTCACGACACTGTTACTCAACTGTCATCTTTACAAGCACGTGATTGTTTTTCTCTGTCTATTTTTTCGTTTTTTTTTTTTTAGAATTCTGAAGAAGTAAGTGCAATATTTAGTTTTTATTTGTTTTACTAATATAATTTAAACTTGTAAATAAAGATTTTCTAATGTTATTATTACAGAAAGGTCATTTTTGATAATGTTACAACTCTAACCTCAAAAATCTTGTATTTTTTAGTAATGGGTAAAAAAGTAGATTTTTCACCAAAAAAATTGGATTTATAAAAGCATTGATAAATGAAAAAACACTTTACAGCATGAAATTGCTAAAAAATGTGGTATTTCACATACTTCAGTACAGAGAGTTGTCAAAAAATTGGATATGGGTGATAACTGTTCACCGAAAAGAAAAGGTAAATGTGGTAAAAAAAATTTTTTGACTCCTCGTGGTGAAAGAACATTGTCGAAAGTAATAAAGGAGGATAGGACTGCTACTAATTCTTTCATAAAAAATAAATTACAAGCCTCTGGAATTCAAATGTCCACCAGAACATTGCAGAGAAGACTCAATGATCTCGGTTATAATAGTAGACAGCCAGTAAAAAAGCGAAAGTTAACAATCAAAATGAAAGAAAATAGATTGAAATGGGCTCTGAAGTATAAAAACTTTACAGTAGAAGATTGGAAACAGGTTTGTGTTTAAATTATTTTAATATTTTTATATGAAAACACACATGGAATGAGAAATTATAAAACAATATTTTATTTCAGGTTTGCTTTAGTGATGAGAGCACATTCCAAGTGATGACAAACAAAGCTCAGTATGTTCGTCGTAAAATATCGGAAAAATATCACGAAGACTGTGTTATAAAAACTGTGAAATATCCGACTTCTGTCATGATTTGGTCCATGATAAGCGGAAAAGGTTTGGGTCGACTCTACGTTGTAGAGGGCATTATGAGGCAAGACCAGTATCGAGATGTCTTGCAACATCGATTGTTACCACAATTAAGGGATTGGTTTGGTGAAATGAAGAAATTTATATTTATGCAAGATGGTGCCCCTTGCCATACTGCAAAATCTATAAAAAAGTTCCTCTCAGAAGAAAAAGTTCCATTATTGGATTGGCCAGGTAACTCACCAGATGTCAATCCAATAGAAAATGTTTGGGAACTCCTGAAGAGAAGAATTTCAAAAGAAAATATCACAAACAAAGTTAATTTGATTGAAAAAATTATATATTATTGGAACCACGATATAAATTTAAAAGAAATGTCATTAAAATGTATTGAAAGCATACCTCGACGCGTCCAAACAATTATTGATGCCAAAGGCGGGCTCACAAAATATTGATACAATGTGTGTCTATCATTAGATTTATTAATTTTTGTCGTTATTTTATAGATTTATTTGGTTTTATTGTGTATATGAATGTTAATCAATTAAAAATAAAAAGTATTTGAATACATTTTAATTGTTTACTGCATTTTATAACCCCAAGAAATCATTAATACAGAAAAAATGTAGGTGGCACTAATAAATTGTCATGGGACTGTATATATATATATATATATATATATATATATATATATATATATATATATATATATATATATATATATATATATATATATATATATATATATATATATATAAATATATCCTTTCAAGAAAGTATAGAAATTTAAGAAAAATTAAAAAGATTTTTGAGTATTAAAAAAAATATTTGTTGATTTTATTTCTATTTTTGTTATTTCCAAAAAAATAAGTTTAAAAAAATTATGATAGGTTCTTTAAAATTACACAATGCAGAGCAAACTACCAGAATATCATCAATACATGGTATTAAATTTATTGGCACTTCCTGGCGTATCACTCTAAAAGTTTTAAATCTTCTTAAAACCGGTTTAACTAATATTCTAAGTTTAGCAATAGCATTAGTTTTGCAAACCTCATCAGCTGTCATCTGGGAGTTGCCTCTACGACCAGGTGGAGTTATAAAATAAATTTGCCTTGCAACACATTCTTCAATAAGGTTAAAACCTTTGTCAGCCATCAATGTACTATAAGTTGAAACAAGATCAAAAAACTTTGAGTCAAGTGTTATCTTTTTATCACTAATTCGACCTGTAAATGCTTTTGACATAAATATAATGCTTGAATTGGGTGCTACACCAATAAGAAACTTAAATGTGTTATGATGTTTATATTCAGACCAAGTAGCACTTTGAAGTTCTAAGTCTTTTGGTGTCTCTATAAAAATCTCTGAACAATCAATAATGGTGAATAAGTTTTTAAACTGATGAAATCGTTTAGGTGTTGTTGCAATTATTGTTCCAAGGTCTGGAGCATATACAAAACATTTTAAATACTCTGCTAAAGCCCTTAACCAAGATTTAAAAATACTGCTGCATGTACCTTCTGATATACTAAAACGGTCTGATAAATCAGTTGTTAGTAACTCTAGGCAAAGTTTCATCAAACATAAAAGCATTTCATCTTGTGAAACTAACTTTTTTGGTGGTCCCATTTTTTCAGGTGTAGATTTAAAATTATGTTTTCTTTGCTCTCATCCCTTTGGCGATAATGTCGTTTTATTAGAGGTGAAACTTTATCATAAAGTTTGTGAAACAAAAAATTTAATATTTTTTTCTATTAACAGTTTTTCGCAAATTGGTTTTGAACACGTTAATTGTTCTTTAAGCTGAATTATATATTTTGTTAAACTGTAAATGACAGATACTAATAATGCAAAAATAAACCTTAAATGCTCAAAAACTTTTTTATTTTTTTAAAATTGGAATAGGATTTTCCATGGGTAATATTGTTTTGCAAATCATTTACTATTTCAAAACCATCATGTTTGAAAGAATTTTTATTTGCACTGTTTACTTTCTTAAGGTTAATTGTTTTATTCTGATGGTTTTTTAACTCTTTTTATACCTGTAGATAAAAACATCTCTGATTTTGTTGTTGTATTATATCTAAGATTTAATGTGGGGTTAGGAAACTGGATGCTTGGTTCTCGATCAATAAAATGGATGGAGCAAACACAACTATCTTTTGATGGTTCCCAAAATTGACCCGTATTTGTTGTTCTGTTGATAAGTTTTATCCAAGTGTTCCTTTTATCCAAGCATTTTAATGCAGTAGGGAATGAAAACAGCCTTAAGAAAAAAAAATTAAATTATTAAATGTAAATATAACAGTAAAAAAATGTAAATAACCAAATTTTATTTATAAATACTTAACTTTATTTTATTACTACAAAATAAATTTATTCCTAAACTTGATTTTAAAATAAACTCTTTAAATTAGAGTGTTTATTAAATTTAATAAACACTCTAATTTAAAGAGTTTATTTCAAAATCAAGTTTAGGAATAAATATATTTTGTAGTAATAAAATAAAGTTAAGTATTTATAAGTAAAAATTGGTTATTTATATTTTATTACACTTTATAAAGTCGAATAAAAAAGTTGAGCAAATAACAAACCTGAAAGGTAGATTACAGGAGCATAAAATAGATTTCCCAAGGTACCTATGTTCCTCACAGAAAGAATTTTTCCAATTTTGAACTTCTCTTATAGAGTTATGGCAATTTTTAACAACGCATATATTAAAAGATTAATTAAACGCATTGTATTAAACGCATAATTACAAGAAATGCGCAAAAAATGCTTAAATATTTTACATTGATTTACAATATAATTAAATATTGCATTTTTAATTAGATCAATTTTTATTTCAAAGTTATTAAAGGACTGATTTCCTTTTTTTATAACAAAATTAGTTTTTAAATTAGCAAATAATGTTATACTTAATGATTTATACAACCTAGATTTGTATTTTATTAAAAAAAAAAAAAACTTTAAATCACAATTTTTGAGTTAAAAACATTTAAAAACTTACCAGCCCTCGGTATTAGGGTCGGCATTTGGCAATGTCAACCAAATGAAGTTAGGTTGGCATTGCTAAATGGTGATTTTTTGCCAACCTCAAAGTATTTGGGGTTTGCATAAAAATCACCAACTTCAAATTTATGTTTTATGGTAACCCCTTTGTGTCAACGTCTGATGCCAACATCTTGAGGTCGGTAATAAATTGCCAATCTTTTTCTTATTCTGTGGGTTGATGCACTAAGTTCGTTAAATTGACTAAAACCATAATACAACAACAAAAAGAATCAGCAATACATAACAAATATATATATATATATATATATATATATATATATATATATATATATATATATATATATATATATATATATATATATATATATATATATATATATATCACATCAGCAGTCTGAAATTATACTGAAACAGGGTCCCTGTTTGAGTTGTGGAGGCTTCAGTACATACATGGACTAGTATATAAAGAATATGCAAAAGAGTTGCTGCTATACCGACTGAGCATACTTTTATAGTTAAAGTATCATTGCCTTAGAACTTTGAGCTATTTCATGACTGATGTGTAAGAAATTTTTTGATATACTTAGAATGATGAATTCGGAAAAAAGTATTTTATACTTGTGCTTCTTGTGATTTTTTAAAAAATTAGGTCTCAATCAAAAATACAAAACTGTGTACAAATGCAAGCCAATAACTACGGTAGTTTATACACATATACTATCTTTTTCAATTCATAAATTTTTTGTGATGTTGCTGCTTCTAATTTGTTTTAAACCATTTTCGTTATCTCTTTAAAAAAATATATCACAAATGTAAATATACAAAAAATATATTGTAAACTTATTCCGGTGTAAAATATATTGCTTATTAAATATGCAATATACTTTATATCGGAATAAGTTTACAATATATTGTTTGTATATTATAAATAAGTTATAAATAAGTTATTTATTACACCATTAATAACGAAAAATAAGAAGTTTTTAGTTACTCTAGCACTTACTTTGATTAGGTGGATTAACTCTGAGAACATATTGGTATTTATAGATATCATAAGTATAATTTTGTGCGGAGTTCTGTTGTTTTTTCTTTAAACTTGATGCAGGTACAATTGAAAGAGACATTTTTGACAAACTTCGGAATTAACTTTAATGAATAAATAAAAAAATTTAAACTTTATTACTTTAAAAATTGATAATTACTAATTGCTAATAAAATGTTATAAACACTAGGCCTAGAAACTTTTTAAATTGAGTTTCATTCGCAATTTCTGGTGAGAAAGTTTATTTCTTTGGGTAATAGTGTAATCTAAAGTAATAATTACAAACTAATTAGTCGGAAATAGAGTAGTTGCGGTGATTACTTAGAATAACATAACACAGAAATGCCGTTATTTAAAAAAATAGTCCTGAACTACCGAAAAGTCGTAAACGTTAAAGTAAGTAATATCAACCACATCGTATGTTGTGTAAACGCAGTTGAGGAATAAATAGAAGTTAGTTTAAAGCAATGTATAAAAACTATAAGGTTGTGTGTTTGAAGAGTTAAATGATAAAAATTTATGGGTGCAAAGCATTCTTAATGCTAACTAAATTGTTAGCAAGAACGGATCCAAAGGAGGGAGGGGGCGATGGGGACGATCGATCAATTGATGATCTTTTAAATCAAGTTCTTATAGAAGTTTCAAAGACTTTAGTATTTCTTTCGGTCTTTTCGACAATGGCTAGACAGCCTCTATGCGCGCACTCCATCTTGTTTGAGACGTTTAGTAAAGGGACTACCCAGTTGCTTCAGTCAAAATTTTCCAGTGCATGGGGCTACAACTAAAAAGGTTATAAAACGATTGGATGTTGCCAAAATAGTTCTTGATTACAGTAGAGAATTCCGCAGAATGAACGCCAGTTATATTAAGACTATGCGCACTGCAAGGTATGAACAAAGCTTGACGATTTTTCTCAAGAATGGTACCCTGCAGTCCGAAAGTGATTTGTTTCCGTATGAGACACGTCCGGAGTTCCATCAACAATAATGAAAAAATAGATAAATCAATCCCAGTCTGATTTTTCAAGATCTCAAAGGCTGATTTCCAGACGATGTAGTAATTTCTGTGTTAAACATTACACTGGTGGCTTTTAATGTTTTCTCCTAGCTTTCGTCAATTATCCTTTATTCCGTCATTCCGCATCAAGAGGAAAAACTGAAATCCAGGGCCAAAATTATGCTTTTGTCCAAAAATAGAGCAGGGAAAACAAACGAAAACTTTTAGAGATCTACTTCAAATAAGCCAGTCTCTGTTAACCTTCTTTACGTTTCGAAAAATTTCGTAAAAAAAAAAGAGGCAGGAGCTTTTTTATTTGTAGAGTCTCTAGGAAAAAGTGCCGGATTTTGAAGTGGTTTATTTAATATGATTAGATCGCGTTTGACTTTGGGTAAGACCCTCTTCCACAAAGCGGGGTGCTTTTTAACTGCTTGATCACCAAGTTGAATCGCCTCTTAATCCTAAACTAAAAAAAGCATTTAAGAATTTTGGTATGTTTTTACTCTCTGCAAATATTAAATGATATGTTTTTAGAACCTGCAGGTTTTTCATAAAATAAGAATGAGCCCCAAACTCATCCGATTATTATCTTCTTCTTCAGAGACCGTTAAAAAATTGGAAAGAAAAAGATTGCTTTCCTGAACTCAAGGGTTCATCAACGCTGTTGGTAGCATCGTCCGTCTAAAAATAATTGTTTTTACAGTTTTGGAATAAATTATGAATATAGATTGTTAATAAAAAAATAAAGCTGTTAGCCTATACCTTGACTACTTGGTCGGACGTAGAGTTATTAGATACCTTTTTTTTTTGAACTTTATCGACGCCACACTCTTTCAGTCTACGTTTGTTCTTGTATTCTTTTACAACATTTACTACAGCTCTTTTTCTGCCTCGGGACCCTGAATCATACTTTTGAAAACTGGACGTTTTTACTCTAAGATGCATTTTATTTTTAAATAAAATAGAAAGTTTTCCATTTCTTTCAAAATCGAAATGAATTTTTAATATAGAATTTAATTCTCAAAGGAATTAAGGAGAAAAAGAACCAAATGCAATTTCACAATATCAAATTATTTGGAATTATTGAGAAAGAATATTGGAAAAGTGTTGAAATGAGAATAACTTAACTGATTTATGTAAAATAACATTGATAATGTTTTAAAACAAGCCTTTTGTTCGGATAAGTGTTATGTAATTCGAATTTTGACTACATTTAAATTGGAGCTAATGAAATCAGTCCTTTCACGCAAAAAAAAAAAGAAATAGTGAACTTTCTTTTTCACCAAACTTAAATTTCAATTTCATTCCATGTGATAAAATTTTTAAAATCTTACAAAATATCTTGCAGAAAAGACGTTTTTGCTTAAAGTTATGCAAATAATCTTCTTTTTTTCTCTCTTGACAATTCATCATCATTAAAACGTTTACAAAATATTACTAGCCCGTACTGCAGGTGGAGTTGGTGTGTGCGATCAACGCCGCTTTTTAATGCAGTTACCCTTTGTTTTGCATAAATTTTGCAATGAAAATCAAGTAATATATTTATTTGCTACTTTAAACTACCTCGTTTTAAAATTATGATTATCCGATTATGAACAAGTCACACTGTCATCAAGTAATTTGCAGTAGTACTAGTTTCATTAGCACACTCACAGACAGGAATATTAAAAATGGTTCAGCTAGAAACAAGTTATCCATAATCGATTTCAAAAAAAAATTATTCAGTCTGCTTGCTAGTCACAATAAAAATATCTTTATTTTTTTATCTTTATTTATTTTTTTTTCAATATATAAAGATACTAAAATGATTAGTAGGAAAATAAAGTAAACGGTTAGGTTACCAATTCTGATTCAAAATATCATTCAACGTCGCTTGTTTTTCTTTGGAAAAAGCTACGCGTTAACTCATCTGATTGGTGTTTCCGTATATGTTTTGATTGGTTAGTTTCTTATTAGTTTTGATTGGTTAGATTCTTCTCAACTGGACAAATTGTTGTTTTACTTCTCCGTTTGTATTTTTTTTTTTCTTGCTTTTTTCTTTGCAAATCGATCAATCACCAAATCCAAAAGAGCTAAGACAATGTTGTGTCATACTGCTTCTTAAAAATGTTTTTATTAATTTCAGTTTTAAAAAATTTCGTTCTACTGTATCTGTCTTCATCGGTTAAGTTAAAAAAAATAAGGCATATTGCAATAATATTGGAGAAGCTACTTAAGATTGTGATTAAAAATAGTTCAGTATAAAGATTAAATTTACAGATTTAGTTTTAAAGATTAAATTTACAGCAGTTTGGCTGTAAATAAATGTAATTTCTTTAGTAAATACTTTGCGCCAATAATTTAAACCACTATTAAATTCATGCTGACTTTCAATATCTAATTCTGAACCAGTTTTTCATTGAAAGTAAATCTTGAAAGAAATGTTAGTTTGATTCTTAGTGACTTTCAATATTTCAAATGTGATCAATCAGATTTTGATCTTACAAATCATAAGTCGCAGTTGGGTATATTTTTTTGGGTATAAAATTTAGAACATTTTCTGCCTGTTGCTTTTAACTCTTTTTTTTTAAACTGAGCTCCACTTTGTTTTTTTGAAATCTTAAGCGTAACTTATAATAAAAAAATATTCTGTTAGTTCTTGATAATTAATTGCTTACCTGATTCTTTTAAATATAGAGTATTTTTTCGCAAATTCTGAAGTATAATTTGAAAATTGATGCTTGTTTCAAAACTCAAAGGGCAGGAGACGCAATCAAAGCGTTTTTTAACATCGTTTGAACGTTCAAAAATGTTTTTTTTATATCCCGTGTCCACTGAAACAGAGTTAGCGTGCGGCCATGGCGCAGTTGTTAAAGCGCTTGATTTATAAACAGAAGATCCAGGTTCAAAACGAGCTCTGGACATATTTTCGCGTCACAGTAAGGAAGAAGGCGTGAACTTCCTGGTTAAATGCACATCCACGGTGCTCTGTGACAAGACCGTTAGATCTTCTTGGGGCACCTAAATAACAAAAAAACAAAACAAAAAAAAACAGAGTTATCAAAAATTGTCCGTGACTTTTTTAAAATCAAAGAGGTATGATAGACAAGCTGGAGGAAGAACGAAGCCGAAAGTAGTTTTAAGTAATTAATTACTAGTATAAATATTTCAACGGTAAGTTAAAATGGCAGATTTGCATTTGGAAAATAGAAAGGTTAAACTACTTTCTTAAAAGTTAGTTGCATTAATTTTTGACAAATGTCCGAACTATCATGAAGTAATCAAAACAAAATCATAATTAAGGTAAAGTAATCGCTTTTTGCGATTACTTTACCTTAATTATGATTTTGCAATTAACGGTCTTAATCACAGAGCAGTAGTTGCTCTGTGATAAGACCGTAAGGACTTCTTGGGTCACCTAAATAAAATTAAAAAATAATTGAAAATGTCAAAGTTATAGACAATCTCTACTACCTATTTGAATCTTTTTTACTTTTCCCCTTTAGCTATATATTTAATACGTTTATAAAAAACGTTATTTTGACCAGGAACTTATTAAAAATCTCCATGGTGTTATTTAATTGCATGAGTATTTTGCGAAAAATAATCTTCTTGTTGATATCAATTACAGTTATATTTTAAATATAAAAATAAAATGTCCCTGTTTGTAAATCCAGCAAAAATACTAACAACTCTAATCTAGACATTTATTTGTTCAATTCTAATTAATTCTAATAATTCTAGACATTTAATAATAGTTACTTCAAAAAAAAAAAAAGAACAATATAAAAAAGTAACTTTAAACTAACTATAAATATTGTTTACTAAATTTAATAATTGCCCTAACTACTCCGCGGTAGCTACGTTTATGATCGGAAATTGTACTAAGGATGCAATAAACATCTAACCCACTAGCCACGACACTGCTTGACAGGTTATCTTATATTAAAGAAATGCTTTAATACTTCGCAAGATTGTTAGCTAACAGTGTGTAACTGGCAACACGAATTCTCACTCGCAGCAACAAATAAATTATAAAAAGTATCGATTTAAAATGATTTGGCTTCTAAAAAAAAAAGCTCATTGGTAAAATGAGATTTTGGGTAGATATAACCCCCTTCTCCACGTATTTTTCATTTGGTACGGCCCTGAAGACACCATAGGTATTACATCTATCACCATTAACTTGACTTGTTTTATCTCACCAATAAATGTCATAGTGAATGTCTAATTTTTTACATTCCAAAGCGAGACCCCGAAAGGCGATCAAAGTATTTTTGACAAAACCGACAATCACACTGAAGATTCGCATTTTCTTTTGCTTCTATTTGTTTCTTTACGTTTATACAACATGAATCTTTTATAATGAGATGACCTTTGAAAGAGATTGGGAGCAGCCGCGGCAATTTTGTAAAATAAATATTCGTCCAAAAAAAAAAATATTAAGGAAATCGGATTTTTTAAAATTTAAAAGTATATTCAGTTGAAAGAATGTTGTTCAAGTTGCAGAAAATTTCTGCATTTTCAACAACAGAGTTTTATTATATGCAATATTCTGATTACAGGGATACCTTTGGAATGTCTCTAGCACGTCCAGAAGGAAAGTGAAAATTTAGTCCTACTATGTATTACTTTAATAAAAAAGCTTTACTTAGAAAGTTAATATTTCTTATCAGGATATAAGTCAATATGAGAATCCAGGAAATTTTAGGAGACATTTGCTCAAATGGCAAGTATTGTGAGTTATATAAACATTGCTTGGAATCAAAACTACACCAACAGCATAAATGACACAACTAGAGACATGCCTTAGGTAAAATGCAGAATACGATTTAAATGTGATTTTAAATTTTAAGGTTGTTAAAATGTAAAACCAATCGCCGTGTATCAACTCTTCTGTTTATTAAAAAAATAAAAAGTATATATAGTAAAAAATTTTACTATATATACTTATTTGCACAAATATAGAACTACTTTAAAGAATAAATTTTGTTTGATGCTGTTTTTACGTATTTACGTTGTATCTAAAAATTTATAAAAAGGTTGTGCCAGAAAAAAAGTAATTGACTATATCTACAAATTTGTAACTTTTGATTGTTGAAATGGTCACCTATCGGAGGCTCCGTAAAATGTGAGGTCCTAATACACGGTATGCTTTCCGTATCATAAAACCTTTATTTGCAAGTATTGAACTGTTGTACGTGTTACCTTTGGTTTTCGACAATAAAATGAAGTGCCAGAAAAATAGCAGTGGAGTTAGATTGTCAAAAAGGCCCAGTTCAACAATTCTATATAGCTTGTAGTTTTTTAAATTACTTATATGATTTGGTTTTTTTTTCGGATTGGTTCGGATAAAATAACAAAGAAGAAAATTACTTTTTAAACTCGTTTTGTGTTTTTAATTATTTCTAGATATTGAATGATTGTATCAGCTACCGAAAATAAGTTTGATTTTTTGTCTACTAGTGTTTTAGGAGGACTTGGTAGTGTTACATTTACCGCTAAAATGTCACGAACAAATTCATCAAGAATACACCAGCATTGCAAAGGATCGCTACAAGGAGCATAATGTATCTAAAAGAAAACAAATTCTTTAAAAAATGTTTATTAAAAAAAATATTTCTCGATATTTGTAACACATATCTTTATTTATCAATTATAACTTATATATACTTAAATTATTACATCTTAATAATAATAATAATAATAATAATAATAATAATAATAATAATTATTATTATTAGTATATTGAAAACATTCAAAAATATAACATTTAGAAGTTTGTTTCTCTGCTAGAATATAATTATAACATATTTTAAAAATACTCGCTTATATTTTGGAAGCAATACTTAGATAAAGCTATTATTTATTAACAAAAAAATATATTTAACCTCAGCAACAACTCCTTTAAAACTTGAAGCTTGGGTAATAGTTCCAATTTTTATAATAAAATCACCAAGTGTGAAACGAGATCCTTTAGCCTAAACATTTATTTTTAGAAATAATTATAAGAAACTATTGAAACCCACTAGTTTTTATTTAAATTAAAATTAAAAAGTTAAATAGGAAAAAAAAAAAAAGCAATTAAATAGTGCTTAATTTTAAGGTAATACAATTTATTAGTGGTTCAGTATGTTTACACATTTGTAAGTGACTACAAACAAGGAATGTCGAATTTCATCTGGAGCCAATAAAGTTTTAGGCATAGTTTTTAAATTTATTATATTTATACATTTTTTAAGATAACCCCTTAGCAATTATCAGGTTATGACAAAAAGTCTTAATTCAAAGGGTAATTACTCAATTTTTATTAGTAAATAAAGTTTAAAAAAAGTTGACTCGTTTATTAATCTATAAAATTAACGGAATAATAAACAATATTTAAGCTGATTAATTTATTTTTGCAATATTTAATTGAGAAACAAAACATGCAATTAAGAAATCATAATATGTATTTAAGAAACACAACATGCAATTAAAATATTGCAACATGTAATTAAGAACTTTCAATTACAATTTACAATTAAATACTACAATTTCTTTATTACAAGTTGTAATGTGTAATTGAGAATTCGTAAAATATAATTGCAAATACACAATATAAGTTTATAGAATAATATAAAAAGTAGTTTTTGGATATGAGTTTAATAATTTAATAATGTCATATTTAGCTTTCCGTGTGCACCAGAAATAGTTTAGGAATTAAACGATGTTTTGTCAATAAACTTTAACCCAGTCCTTGAACTATATCCATTTAGTTCATTAAATTTGTTTACACGCTTGAACAACCAGATTCTACTTTATTAATTGGTTGACATGCAATACATGAAACCAAATAATTTGAAAAAATCATTTTTCTTGATCTTGACAGACTGTAGGCACTGCCAAGGGAAAGTTACATTTCAAGAGCTCTCACATAGATATTGAGCTCTAGGTCATTGCACTATTTTTAAAAACACATAAATATAATGCATTTAAAAAGTTGTGATATCAAAACTGTAACTTTAGTTTGTATTAACTTTAGTTAAAATAAGCTGAAACAGTAACTTTAATTTATAAATTCATTAAAAAAGTTGTGATACAGTAAAAGGATCAGAATTCGCTGAATGACGAGTCAAGCGATAATGAGTTTTGGTTGATGGAACTAGAGATGATAGCTCCTTTGAGCAGCGACCATGATATTTATAGTATTTATGGAAAAGAGAAATAGATTCAACTTTACGACGATAGGAGAGGCTCAAGTTTGGCAGATAAAACAGGCCTAACAACGATTACAATGCGTTTTTGGATTACAATGCGTTTTTAAAAGCATCATTGGAAAAACCAAAAATTCTAACTCGTCTAGTTTTTTTCTTCGAACATCAGTTCTTTGGAATTCGCTACTTTCATCTTGTTTTCCTGATTTATATAATTTGCAATCGTTTAAGTCGTCTGATAATCGTTATCTTATTTAAACTTTATCTTTTCTCTTTCAGTAACTTCCAACTCTAATAGTGGTTGCTTACAGCTTTATTGTAAGTGAAGGTGTTTAAAAAAATAAAAAAAAACAAAAAATTAATTTTACCTCAGTTTTGCTACCTTTCCTTGGCAAATAAAAGTCAGACAGCTTAGAAATAATTGAATTGATTGAGTTTTCTGCCACCACGCATGTATCATTTTCAAGAAGAGAAAAAGAAAGAGAAGGACACTCTGATGAATGCATTAGGTAAAACATTTTTGCAACATTTTCTGGAACAAAAAAATTAATTTTAAATTAGAATTCAACTATAATTATATATTTATGATAAATATTATGAATATTCACATAAATGATACATTAAAAATGTATTAAATAGAGTAGTGAAAAAAAATAATAAATACACTCTAGATTTTTCTAAACATTTAGAAAAATGTATTTTATTTACAACAATTGATGTTAACTGATATTAATTTTTATGTTTTTAAAAACTTTATTGTTAAAAATTATATTTTAAAAAAAATTAAGTATTTTTTAAATTTTTCTTATATTACTAACGATTTCGTTTAAAGTAGCCGGAAATTTACTGGGAAAAGTAATAAATACAGAAATGAATAATTTTTTCAACTTTATATTCCTGTCTTGACAAAAAGTCTTCACTTTTCGATCGCCTAGAACAAGTAGCTGATCTTGAATCCAATCTCACTTCAGTAATAGATTGGGGTTCACAGTGGCTTGTGAATTTCAACTCTAAAAAAACCCAGTTGTTTACTGCAAACAACTACCGTAATATGGTCAACATTCCTATATTAATAAATGGCAACCCTCTTACTGAGTCCTCCTCTTTACGTCTTCTTGGATTATCGCTTACTACTGATCTTTCATGTAAACCATATATACAATCGATTGCTAAATTAGTTTCTGCTAAGGTTGCTTCTCTTTATCGTGCTCGCCATTTCCTTACTTCTGATTCCATTCTCTACCTCTACGAATCTCTTATTCGTCCCTGTATGGAATACTGTTGTCATATTTGGGCTGGTTCTTCTAACGATTCACTTTCTCTTCTTGACAAGGTCCAAAAACGCATTGTAAATGTTGTTGGACCTGCTAAGCTTGAGCCTCTTTCCCATCGTCGTAAAGTTGCATCTCTTTCTCTTTTCTACAAATACTATCATGGTCACTGCTTATCATCTCTAGTTCCATCAACGAAAATTCATTCTTGTTTTACTCATCATTCAGCTAAGTCTCATTCGTTTACTGTATCTGTCCCTGCATGCTCTAAAAACTTTTATTCATCTAGTTTTTTTCCCCGCACTTCAATCCTTTACAACTCTCTCCCATTTTCATGTTTTCCTGACTCATACAACTTTCAACTTTTCAAGTCTTCTGTCAATCGTTTCTTTGCTCTATAACTCTGTTCTTTTTTTTCCTAGTAACTCCAAAGTTTATAGTGGTTGCTAGCAGCCTTGTTGGGAGTGAATCCAAACATAGTATGTTTAATAAATTCTATGTATATTCAGTTAATTATTTACAGTTTACTAATATATTATATTACTACCATTTCATTTAATTAATTACAATTAATAAAAAACATTGCTTAATTTGAAGGTATTGCCTCTTACTTTTAATCTGTAAGTATTTTCAATATTTAAAAATATGATATGGTGATATTAGTATGCATATTAGTAAATTAATTCATACAACGGTTTTAACTTATGATATTCTGGGTAGAAAGTCACATTGCACCTCAGCTGAGCTCTTAGTAACTCAATGGCTTAAAAACAGTAGAAAGTCTTATAGAGAGATTTCAAGAATAACTAAGTTTTCTGTTGGAATGGTTCAAAACGCTCTTAAACCAAAAGTATGTGTTGAAACTTGAGGTCGCAAAAGAAAAAGAAATTACAGAGAAGATAAATTAATCATTCGTAAAGCTAAAAAAGATCCATGTATCTCCAGAAACACCATTAAAAAAAACTTAGAGTTAAATGTAACAGCATAAACAATTAGAGGACGCTTAGTTAAAGCTAATTTATTTTCAAGATCACCTAGAAGTGTTCCTTTTTTTAAAAAAACAAAATATAAAAGCCAGAAAAAAATTATGCCATAAAAATTCGCATGGACAAATAAGAAATAAGGCACAGTTTAGTGGACAGATGAATCTAAATTTAATATCTATGAATCAGATGGTCATCAGTTTGTCCACAGACCACCAAATAAAGAGTTTGACCCACATTACACTAAAAAAACAGTTGAATTTGGTGGTAGAAGCATTATGGTGTGAGAATGTTTCTTGTCATCTGGTATTGGTCCTATCTATTTAATAACAAACACTATGACAGCTAATATTTGTACAAACATAATTGAAGAAATAATGCTTCCTTATACTGAGGATAATTCTTGTTGAAATATCCAGAGCCTCTGTTCTGGATATTTCAACAAAATACCAATCCAAAACATACAGCTTTTATCACAAAGAGATGGTTCCAAAATAATGGTATAAGACAAACTGGCCAGCACAATCGCCAGATTTAAATCCAATAGAAAATTTATGGAAAATTATAAAGGATGAGGTAGAAAAACAAAAGCGTTGGAACAAAAGGGATCTATGGGAGGCTGTGAAAACATCATGGTACACTATTCCACTATCAACATGCCATAAATAGGTCAACAGTATGCCCAAAAGACTAATCGAAGTTAAAAAAAAAAAGGACATGCAACAAAATATTAGGCAATTTTTGTAAATATTGTATTACGTGGTTGATAAACCTTTTGAAAAAAAAAAAAAATTAAAGTTTGTTTTTGTTCTTAATTGTTTTTAATTATTTTTGGTAAACATTTCTAGTATAAACATTGAATTTTTTTGATTTTTTCAAATATACACACACAATAACCATTTCTATATTTATTATTTTTCCCCACTAAATTTCCAGCTACTTTAAACAAAATTGTTTGTAACATGAGAAAAATTGAAAAAAACTTCATAATTTTTAACAATAAAGTTTATAAAAACATAAAAAATAATATCAGTTAATATCAATTGCTGAGAATAAAACACATTTTTCTAAATGTTTAGATTATAATTTTTTCCACCACTGTACATCATAAATAATTTTTATGTTATACAGTGTTATTAATATCATAAATTAACTTATTTACAATTTTTAAACTTTTTTAGATTTTTAAATTTTATAAGTTTTCCAGAAAATTTAATTTGTAATAGAAACCATGCTTAATGGTCTTTATCATAAACATTAGTGATAATACAATATATACAATATATGCATATTATTTCTTAGTAAATAATGCTTAATAATGCTTAATAAAATATATATATATATGTATATGTATATACATATATATATATATATATATATATATATATATATATATATATATATATATATATATATATATATATATATATATATATATAGTCTTACATGGTAGTCACAAAGTTTTTCCCATAAACTGTTGTTTTAAAGAGCACGTTAATAAGCCTGACCAGAAAATGTTGAAAATCTTCAAAAAATAGACTGCCTGCCCAAACTAAACCCTCAGTCGATGTAGCAGCACTCCCTTGCGAGTCAGGCTATTTGTCAGTCGAAGTAGCTACACTCCATTGCAAGTCAGGCTATAAGATATCGATGTAGCAACACTCCCTTGTTGCAGCAGGCTATAAGATAGTCGATGTAGCAACACTTACGCATGTTTTCAAAATGTTTTTTAATAAAACAAAAACAAAAACACCACTAATTAAAAAATACTTTCTAGTCATTATTATTGCGGTTTTTTTAAAAAACAATAAAATTTAATGTACTTCCGCATTAATTTAATTGCTTTGACATTTTGATGACAATCAAATACAGCTTAAGAGACGAAGTAATAAAAATTGTAGTCGAAAGAGACTTTTTTTACATCTCAAATGCCCCTTCCAAGCAATCAGAGAGAGTTGGCTTCTTATCATAACAAGAATAAATGGTAATATCATCAGCGAACAATGCCACCTTAGATGCGAGAATATCTGGAAAATCGTTAATGTAAATTAAAAAGAGTATAGGGCCAAAGATTGAACCTTGAGGAATCCCTGAGGTTACAGAATAAGAAGAACAGTGCTGTCCATCAAGGACAATTATTATACCACGATTGGAAAGGAATGATTCAATAATCTTAAAGATGTTAACAGATACAACGTAAGAAGAAAGCTTATGGAGAAGACCAGCATGCCAAACTTTATCAAATGCTTTAGAAATGTCAAGAGCGATGACCATAGACTTTCCACCTTTATCTAATGCACGATAAAACATATCTGTAATTACTGTTAGCAAATCAGCCGTAGAACAAGAAGATCGAAATCCATAATGATGATCAGAAAATTATAAGATTCAAGATGAGAGATTAAGTGTTTGTTAATTAAAGATTCAAAAACCTTGCTTATGATAGGAAGAAGACTAATGAGACGGTAGTTAAATGAATCGGATCGCTCTCCAGAATTTTTAAAAATAGGGATAACAGCTGCTGCTTTCCAGCTGGCTGGAAAACAAGAATCTGATAAGCACTTGTTGAATAGTTTTGAAAGGATAGTCTGGAGATCACTTCTGCAAGACTATAACAGGTATGTTGTCCGGGCCACAAGCTGTAGAAGAGTCTAAGCAGGAAATCACTTTAGATACAGAAGCTGGAGTGATAATGTCAAACAATGGACCAACCTGTTTGACGGCTATATCAGGTAGAATGCAACTAGTGGAATCAAGAGATGATATTGATGAAAAGTTCTTAGCAAACAATTCAGTAATTATGAATGGTGAGGTGACAAAGTCTGAACCATACAAAAGAGGTGGAATTATATTATTAAACTTGCCTTTATTATTGATACTATTAAAGATTTTCCAGAAGTCACGAGAGTCTAATTTTTGTGATGAAATACAAGATTTCATGACCTGAGAATAGCGGGCTTTGGCATTAGTCAAAATCTTTTTACAATGGTTCCTAGCAGTAATAAACAGACGTCTGTTTTCTGGAGAATTGTTTTGCTGATAGATATGGAAGTAATGGTTTCGATTGGCAATTGCAGCAACACAATGTTAGGAAAACCATGGAGAAGAGTGAGGCTTGACCCTGAATCATTGAGGAGGAATGAAGCATTTCATGCCAGCCTGAATCCACAAAGTTATGTAAGAAGCACATTTGTCAACAGGAAGACGAAAGATTTCTACCCAAGGGCCGTCACAAAGAAAATCATGGAAAGAGTCCCAGTCAGCTTTAAGGTAGTTGTAAGATGTACAATAATAGAGGGATTCTGATGGTAAAGAAAAATGAGATAATAGTTTTAGAGAGATCAAACTGTGATCAGAGGCACCTAAGGGTGAATGTGGAGTAACTGAGCACTGACTAGGATCAGAAACACAAAGTCGAGTAGTGAAGATAAATGATTCAGGTTGTCTAGAAAACGAGTTGGAAAGTTGACTATTTGAGTTAAGGATTAAGAAACGCAAAAGTTGCAAGCTTTAATGCCTGATATAGAACAAAGAGAAAGAAGAGAGTGATATAGAACAAAGAGATAGAGTGGAGTGGTTCCGAGGGTTCCAGCAATAATATTAAGTAAAGAAAGTTTAATACCCAAGAGATAAAGTTAGTTTCATTTGTATTAAATTTGTACTTACTACAGATGAGGCAAGATGTGCTCTGTTTCGTGGGGTAAGATGCCTTCTTCCTTAAGGTTTTACAGCATTTCTTCCATTTTAAAAGAACAAAATAACGATCTTTGTAACAAAATAGCATTTAGATATTTAGTTGTTGACTTTGATTATATGTTGGTTTAGATGTTTAGATGTATTTTACATATTTATAAATGTGTTTTTTTTAATAATTTTATATATTGAGTTAAAGGTATAAGATGTAGCTAAGTAAAGAAAAACTAAAATTACTACATTTTAATATTTTTTTATCTTAAAATTTAAGTGAGTGATATCATTTAACTTAACAAACTACTAGTAACATCTACTTATTCTTAAACTAAATTATTGTATTAATAAGATTGTATTAGTAATAATACACAATTATGTGTGTTTGTATGTTTATCAGTTTATGCATATAAATTAAATCTAAATTTTAAGGTTTTCATATTTTTTTACATAAATAATAGTGAGAAATTATGTTCGAAAAACAAAGAGAGGTGCAACAAATGATAGAAAAAAAAGACATCATTACATGCGATGAAAATGGGTTGCAGTCTGAAAAATGTTGCATCAGACTTGATTTTTTATTAATACTTAACTAGTATTAATAAAAAATCAATGCAACGTCATCATGACAGAAAAGTAAAGGTAGTTGTTCATCTGTCTCTGGGTGGAAAATCTCCTTTTTTTAGTAAAGAACTTGAGTTAAATACTGTTATGCAATTTCAAATTATGGAGAAAGCATTATTTGGCTTGACAACAACATGTGCGTCGCGTTGCATAAGATTTTGCAACACAAATTAATAATCTTTTTAAGTCAAAAATGGCTGGAGTCAATAAGCTGAAGGATTCATGTCTCGCAATGTACAACTTTCTATTTAAACACCACAAGCCACTAGTGTAAGCAGAGCTGTTAGCTTCAATAAGCCAAAACTAATTATAAAGTGATCAAGCTAAAAATGAAATCAACAAATTTGAGGACAAAAAAAGGTGAAACCTGAAAAGCAGAAAGAATAAAAACTTAATGAAAGTAAGAAATCAAAGACAAGAAGGAAAAATATGGTTTCTGCCTCTGAATGTATTACTGATAAAACTTTCTTGTGCATACAATGCGCCACCATTTGATGATTGGACACAATCAATTATATGTACATCTTGGTACCACTTTTCGCACTCCTTAGAGCATCTTGCTCTACGGCTGGGGAAAGATGTCTTATAGCACAATTAATTGTTTTTAAAATTTTTAAGTTTATCACCAGTAATAAAGTAGTTTTATCTTACTAATGTTTATGTATAATAATATGTGTATATGTATATGTATGTATGTATGTGTATATATATATATATATATATATATATATATATATATATATATATATATATATATATATATATATATATATATATATATATATATATAGTAACAAATAATTCAAAGTAACTTGGTACTTTGAAACATAAATTGTGTATGGTATTTTTTGCTCTTTAGCCATTCTTTTTCCTAAGTTTCCTAACTTAAATAGGTCATTACACAGTCTAGTTAGAAATAAATTTGTATTAAACAAAAAAAAAAAAAAAAATGCCTTTTTGAAAACCAATTTAACCAATGAGTAATAAAAAATCATTTTTCATAATATAAGCAATATGTTTGGGAATTTATAACTATAAAAAGTGACTACAACAAACTTAACTATAAGGTTTTAAAAAACACCTTGGTTTTGTTTAACTGAATGGAATGCTTCACACTCTACAAACCAGCTGCCAGCTTTATCTGCTCCCAACACTCCCAACCTTGCCTTTAGTGAATCAATAACCTGATTGGAAGTACAACCTTCTACTACTGGAACTGGAAAAACACTAGAAACAAATGTCTTTTTAAATGAACCACTTTTTATTACATTTTATTTTAGTATATTACTATAAAGAATTCCTTAAAAAAAAAAATTCTCAAAAGGATGCATGGTCTTATTTATTTGTAAATATTTTCTATGTATTGTATATGCTATCAACTCCTGTTGATTGAAATTGATTGGACTAATGGATTTGTAGAACTTAGTTTAAAAATTTAAAAAATTTTGGCCTAAACCAATGCAGATAAGAAAGCAGTCGAGAGACTTTTATGGCAGATAAAAAGAGATTTTTGAAAAATAAGAGTTAGTTGATAAATTTATTTATTTCAAATAACTTGATTATTCATTTTAACTAAATTGATTAGAGTATCCAATTAAGTTGAAGTTATAACTTCATATTGATTGGATAACTTGTTACAACTACTATCAGTAACTTTCAATTATTTAACTTAAATAGTTTGATTGGTTAAAATGCTTTTTCTGATGTTTGAGAAACTCTTTGGCTCAAATGTGATATTTTGTTTCTTCTGAAAATTTCACATATAAATTTACCCTTTACAAAGTTATATCATTATGCTCGCATTTACAAACTTTTATCATTGTTTAATATATTGAATGAAAAATACCAGTTTGAAACATTTTTTTTTTTATAAATACTCAATTTTATTTTAAAATTGCACTTTTTCTTTATATAATTTATGTAAGTTTTTGCCTTTTTAAAAGCATACTTTATTCTACTTTGAATTGATTTTAAATTTATTGTTTCTATTGCGCATAAAATTTTAAATTTTCAAGATTAAACAATCAGTTTTATATTTTTCTTGTCTATTATTATTATTATTATTATTATTATTATTATTATTGCAATTACATATGTTACAAAAGGCTTATGTTCAATATATGTTTCATGTCAAATATATGTTTCAAAAATCTAAACACAAAATTTAATAAATAAAGCAATTTAAAAAAATTTATTTTCTAAAGAAAATGATTAATAAAATAATACTCACCAAGTCACTCCCATTTTCTTTGTATTTTAGTAAAGCATGAATAATAAAAATTAATTGAATGAAAAAATAGAATGAGCTAAAAGAACAACATCTATAATACAAAACATAATTAAACAACAAAGAAAAAAGCTTGCAGCATTTTAAAAGTGTAATAAATAACAACAACATTTTCATAATAAAACTTCATTATCAAAATCTGTACAAAAATTATGAACAACGCCTAAATAAATATCTTAAAAATTATTCTTTCTACATAACAATATTTGGCTCAGGAATGCTAGCGGCTAATGATTTATGAGGGAGAACTTTCGCCCCATTTAAATAAATCTCATCTTGAATATGAACATCTTCACCTAATACACATACACCTTCCATACGAACCTAAAAATTAAAAAATCACATAAGAACAAATAAAAATGTTACTAAAATTACTTATCTACTTATTTTTTTATTTTATTTAAATTTTCTTTTACTTAAGAAAGTTGTAACTATTTAAATTTAAAAATTTTATATGAACAACTTGAAAAAAAAAAACATTTAATCTTTTCATAGAACTTGTGTTAATAAGTCCCTGAGAAATAAGAATCATATGAGTATAAAAATATAAAAATTCATGCCCAGGAGGCAATACACTAGTTTATTTAGAGTAGAACCCCTCTAAACAAAATAAGAAAAAATCAAAGAATGAATGCTGATTTTATACTGCAAAAAAACTGTCCAGTTTTTGCTCAAGGTAAAAATTCAATTGAAGCAAAATAGTTACATAATTGATGTGGCAAGTTATCCCATCACTCCCTGAACAATTGAAAAGTTAAGATCAAAATGAGACACAAAATTTGTTTGAAATTAGAAAATTGAAATCTGAGCTAAATGCAGCAAATAATAAATTAAAATCTTCTAGTTCTATCAATCTTTAGGTTCGGATAATAAAAAATAGTAGTAAAAAACTTAAAAAACCAGTTAAACAAAAGAGAAAAAAGAAAAAAAAATATCACTGTCTATGAGTAATTGAATAAAATATATACATATATATATATATATATATATATATATATATATATATATATATATATATATATATATATATATATATATATATATATATATATATATATATTTAAACATCTTTACTTTTAACAAGGCTGCAAGCAAACACTATTAGAATTGGAAGTTACTGGAAAAGAAAAGATAAAGCAAGATAACGATTAACAGACAACTTAAAAGATTGCAAATTATATGAATCACAAAAACGAGATGAAGTAAGCGAATACCAAAGAACTGATGTTCGAGAAAAAAAACTAGACAAATAAGAATTTTAAGAGCACTTAGGAACAGTCACAGTAAAATGATGAGACTTAATTGAATGATGAGTAATACGAGAATGAATTTTAGTAGATAGCACAAGAAACGCTAGCTCTTTAGAGCAGTGCCCATTATAGTATTTATAGAAAAGAGAAAGAAATGCAACAATAAAATAATGCTTGAAGGTTGGCTGCAAGAGCAGTTCCAACTAGGGTTTTTGCACCTTGTCTAAATGAGAAAGGGTACTTTTCCAAAATCTGCACCAGATATGGCAACAGTATTCCATACAAGGACGGATTTTAGATTTATAAAAACAAAGAATAGAACCCGGAGTAAGAAAGTGGCAAACATGATAAAAAGATGCAACCTTAGCAGATGCTAATTTTGCAATCGATTTAATATATGGTTTCCAAGAAAGATCGCAAATAAGAGTTAATCTTAAAAAACAAAGGGTAGATGAGTCATTGACTACATTACCGTTCATAAATATAGGAAGTTCTAGATTGTTGCTATAACGATTAGCTGAAAAGTTTTATCTGAGTTAAAGTTTATCAGACACTGAGAACCTTAAGCTGTAGCAAAAGTGAAATCTTTTTCAAGCTCAAATGCACCCCTTCCCCCTCCAATAGTAAGTGACCAGGGCCCCCGCCTTGTCCTCGGCTAAAAATGAAACTTTTTTCAAACCCAGCCCTGTCCCAGCAAAACTATAAGATTTAGCAGGGGTTGATAGCCGGGGCTAGAAAAAAATTTATAATACTTTATATACTATATATATATATTATGCTTACATTTACTATTTATTAAATACTGGTATATATTTATATTTTTCAAACTCTAATTTACTTCTAATAAGATTGCAAGCAACCACTATTAAGATATGAGTTACTTTAAAATAGAAAAAAAGATACAGAAAAGAGATCAGATTAAAAATCAGCTGCTTGTTCAAAAAGTGAAGATTTTTTGACAAGACAAGAGTATAAAATTGAGTTGTCAGCAAATAGAGCTACTTTAGATGTAAAATTTTCATGAAGATCGATATTGTAGATAAGAAACAATACAGGAGCAAAGATAGAACCTTGTGGTACCCTTAAAGTTACTTGAAATAAAGAAGAGTCTAGGCTTTCAAGAATAACTTTATTACTGCGGTTAGAAATAAATAATTTAATAATCTCAAAACCTTTATATAAAAAAATTAATAACAGAGAGATAACTAATCATAGGATAGTTGGAATGTTTTCTAGAGTTTTGAAAAATTGGAACCACTTAGCACTTAGCTTAAAATTTTAGCAAAAATTGAAGAGAGTAACGAAGAACACTTTTTTAAGACTATGATGGAAATCTTGTCTGAAACAATCTTGTCTGAAACTGTAGAAGTGTTTAATTGAGAACTAACTTTAGCATTAGAAGCCAGAATTATTTGGATTTGTTTAACTGGCAAGATGAGTATGACCATTAGATTCAAGAGTCAAATTAGAGTAAAATTTATTTGCAAATTACTCATAAATAAGATCAAACCCATGAATTAAAGATTAGATGTTAGACTTACTTTAGTTAATGACACTGTTGAAGTCTAACCAAAAGTCTCTAGAACCTAACATCAGATATAAGATACAAGATTTAGTAAAATGAGAATAACAGAGCTTAACATTAGACAGGACTTTTTTACATGTTCTTGTAAAAAATATGAAAGAAAGGATTAATAAAGCAACTGCTCAAGATGGTGAAAAATGTGGAGTAAAATGAGGCTTGACTTAAAATTCAAGAGTAGAAATAAAGCTTCCAAACTTTTAGGCCAGAAGGAATAAAAGCTTTAGAGATTATGGATATAAACATATATGTTTGCTATTTATTTAGAGATTATGGATTTAAACATATATGTTTGCTATTTATTTAGATGCTAGCATACAATATCCTTTCATATTTATATAAACTTTAAACTATTAAAGAGATGATCAGATGATGATGATGATGATCATGTTGATCATAATGATGTTTATATAATTATCAATCGATCATCATTTTTTATTTCTGAATTAAGGTTTTACATTCAAGGATGTTAACAAATAGTAAATATGCTAATATAAAGTAAACGCTTACTAATGTTAATAATATCTAATTAAAATAAATATAATGCTAATTTTCACAATATATAATAACGATAATAAATTTTATAACATAAAATAACGATGTAATATAAATAACGATGTTATAACAATAACAATAATAATAATATCAACAATAACAACAATATTAATATTAGTAATAATAAAAGTTAAAAGTAGTTATCAATAGTAAATATTAGTAAAAATAACAAAATAACAATAATCAATAAAAAATATAGAACATAATTTGTAAAAAAAAAATATATATATATATATATATTAAGACAACAAAAATTGATTACAGAAATTATAAACATTAACTATATTTTTTTAATAAAAAGTAGAATAAACTGGTTTTAAAGGTTGAGAATGAATTGAGAGCTTTTAGTTCAAAAGGAAGGTTGTTCCAAGTTTTAGTGCTTTGATATTTTATGGATTTATGCCCGTAATTATGAGAGCGGTGTTTAGAGACAGACAGGTTTAATTTACTATTGGAACAAAGGTGATAACGATTGTTGGCACTTTTGGAAAAGAAATTAATGAAAGTTAAAGGTAGGTTATTGTGTTGGTGGTTCCAGACAAATTTACAGTTTAAAAGTTGAATATAGTCACATAGTTTTAATACTTTAGAAGTTAGGTAGAGCACATTAGGATTAAATTTAATATTCTGAAAATGAATAATTTTTAAAACTTTGTTTTGGAGGTGGGATAACCTAATAAGAGCTTGTTGAAGGGACTGCCCCCATACTTGGCATGCATATCTAAGATGTGAGCCAAAAATAGCATGGTATATGTTCAAGAGTGTCTCAAAACTAACATAATGGCGAATTTTGGCCAACATACCATTAGATCTACTTAGTTTCATTGCTAAGTCTTTACAGTGGGATAAAAAGGAAAGATTTGAATCGATTTTTATACCAAGATATTTAATTGAGTTAACAGGTTCAATTTTTTTGCCACTTAATCTAAAGTTCATGTTTATAGATTTTTGTTTTATTTGATTTAAAGATAATGAGTTCAGTTTTATTAGAGTTTAGAAAAAGTTTGTCGGAGCGAAGCCACTGAACTAGATTGGCAAAATCATGGTTGATGTGTTTGTTAATTTTTTAAGGGATTTATTAATTAGTATTAGATTAGTATCATCAGCAAAGTGGTAAACAGTAGCAAACTTAATGGATGTATGAAGATCATTAATATAAAGAAGAAAAAGCAGTGGTCCTAATACTGAACCCTGAGGAACACCATTAGAACATTTTACAAGGGTAGATCTTGAGTCATTAATAGAAACAAATAGTGTTCTATTGTTTAAATAATGTAGTGTAACCTAATGTAGTGAACCATTTAAGCGGTACGCCTCTGATCCCATAATATTCTAATTTTTTCAACAAAATTGAATGATCCACTGTGTCAAACGCTTTATGTAAATCGACAAATACACCACATGCAAAACATTTATCATCAAGTGCTTTTCTAATTAGTTCAGTCATTTCAATGAGAGCATGAGTTGTAGAGTGATTGGCACGAAATCCATACTGATGGGTGTAAAAGCATTTAAAATTTTCAAGAAAAAAATATAGCCTATTATGCATTGCCTTCTCAAAGAGTTTACCTATATTAGAAAGCAGAGAGATGGGTCGGTAATTGGTGAAATCTAGAAGAGAGCCTTTTTTAAATATTGGAATAATTTTGGCAACTTTAAAAATATCTGGGAAAATAGCACTTTTAAATGAGTAATTTATAACAGTACAGACAGGCTTTGAAATAATAAAGACTAGTTTGAGGAGAAATGTAGGTACGCTATTAGGACCAAGACTTTTTTCTGTTTTAAGCGTGTTTGTAATGAGATCAGATATTTCATTTTCAGTTACTGGATTAATAAAAAACGAATTAGCATTTGGAATGTTAAGAAAGTCACTAAATATGCGTTTAGGGGGTATGGCTTTGCTAAGTAGTTTGTTGTGTATAGTGCTAAAGTAATTATTAAATATATTAGATACGGCAGTGTGATCAGTGATAAGTTTTTTGTTCAATTTAAGTTTAAAAAATGTATTGTGTGTAGAAGGTCTAATATTAATGATTTCTTTTATTCCCTTCCAGGTGTTTTTAATATTGTTTAGATTATTGTTAAAATAAGTAATAAAGTATGTTTTTTGCTAAATTTTAATAAATTAGAAATTTTGTTTCTATAAAATTTAAATTTTGCAAATAATTCATTTTTCTTTTAAATATTTTTTGATTTTATAAACTTTTTATAAAGTTTGTTTTTAACCGAAATAGATTTAAGTATTCCATACGTAATTCAAGGTTTTGATTTTAGTTTAATTTGTTGGTTGGTTAGTATTTTATAAGGAGCATGTCAGTCCAAGATTTCATCAAACGTTTTTAAAATAAAATTCATGGATTTATTAACATCATCATCTTTTTTAATGAAGAGTTCCCAGTTGATATCAGAAATTCCTTCAATAAATATATTTTTATTAAATTTTTTGAAGCATCGTCTGTAAGTTTTTACTTTTTTGGGGTGGTGGGGTATGCCAGGAATGCAAATAAATTGTACCATGTGGTCTGAAATTGAAATAGTAAGGTTACCTGAGAATTGATCAGTTGAATGAAAGTTCGTAAATATGTTATCAATGAGCGCTTTTGATGTAGCCGTTATGCGTGATGGTAAAAATATAGAAGGGTTTAGCGAGTAAGATGTTAAAGAATCTAGATATCTAGAAACAGGTTTAGACTTTATAAATCCATATTAAAATCACCCAATAGAAAAATCTTTTTTTTTTCGTTACTTAACTTTTCAAGTAGAGGAGATAAGTGGGAAGAAGTAAATTCATGTTGATTCATTGAGGGATGGCGATAAATGCAATCAATTATTATATTTGATTCAAAAGTGTATTAAATTTTCAACAAAAATAGACTCTAAATGTTTTGAAGAGTAAATCATAAGATCATTGCGAACGACGTAGTTTAAATTTGAGCATAAGTATAAAAGTGCTCCACCTTTTTAAGCCTCAGTAGGACAATGCTCAATATTAAATCCGTTTATGTATATATCAGTTATATTTGTATCATTTATATATAAATTAGATTCTGTAATACCTATTGCTAAGAAAAAATTATTAAGAGAGCTGATAAGACTACAGAGTTTATCAATATGGAATGGTAGAGAAGGGATGTTAAGATGAATATATAGTTCTGAATTGGGAAGCATAGTTTTATTGAGGTCAACAACGTCATAGTATTTGCAATTAACAGAACTGGGAAATTTATTTAGATCTTTAAAGATATTTTTATGATTACTTGGAGTCTCAAAAGAATATAATGAACTAGTAGATATATTTTTGCATAATAATGTTGACTTAAGCTCCAAGTTGGAAATCAAGCTAAAGGCCTTACTCGTAGATAAATAGCTATAACAATACAAATTTGACGAGTCATTTAAAAGAAGGTTATATGATTGTGCATTGATATGGTTACACTTTGCATGTAACCATAGGTTAAAAAGATCACATTGAATGGCTCTTTGATTGTCAGTTATATTTTTATGGCAAGTATTGCAGAGAGATTTAAATGCCATAATCTTTAGAAAATATATATATATATGTATGTATTAATATACAGTATTAACTAGTTAAAGTGACTAAAGTGTGAAATAGAGATATAAAAAAAAAAAAAAATGATGATGATCATGTTGATCATAATGATGTTTATATATGCATATATATACAAAATATAATATGAATTTTGAATTAAAAAAATATACTTTAGGATGTATAAATGTTTATGCAGCCCTGGTCACAAACCCTATTATTTAAAAAAGTTAAAAAAGTAAAGCAAAATCTGAAATTGCTATATAAATGTATTAACAATCATTTAGTGGTAGAAGATTCAATAAAATCTTTACAAAAAGGTGATGTATTTCACAAGACCAAGTTGAAATAGCTAATATTTTAAATAAATGTTTTCAAGAGGTGTTTGTTATTTTAAGAGGTGTTTGTTATTTCAAGAAGTGTTTGTTATTTCAAGAGGTGTTTATTATTTCAAGAGGTGTTAGTTATTTCAAGAGGTGTTATTGTTATTGCTCTTTCTATGTTTGAGACAAGAGTAAACAAATTTACTACAAAGGTTTCTGATCTATTTCCTGACAAAATCATTTATAATGATGTTCTGAATACGCTTCAGAGTCTTAACAAAAATGAAATGCAATGCATCTTTTCTAAGAAGTAAGAGACAGAGAGTGGTTAAAGGCAACGTTGTCTCAAATTGGATTGATCTTTTTAGTAGTATGCCTCAGGGTTCAATTATTGGACCATTCCCTTTTTGTTGTTTCCATTAATGATTTGTCAGATACAATCAAAAACATTAAAAAATTTTATTGATAGTAAATTTAAAAATGTGTCAATGAAATTAAGAATGACTTTAAAATAAAGCACTTGAATGGACTCAAGACTGGTTGCTGAAATATAAACAAGTGCTTTGTGATTCATTATAGCTCCAACAATAAGAATTATCTACTTTTAATTAATGGTTTACAACTTCATAATTCTGAGTTTCAACAAGATCTTGGAATTATATTTTCAACAATCCTTAAATGGAAAGTTACAACTAAACTGATTTCATCAGAGCAACTAAACTTGCTTCATTAATTAGCAGTCTCATATATAAAGATTGACTCAGGCCTTACAACTCTAACTGAGAGAGAAAAAAAAGGGAGATTTGATTGATTTATACAAACCTATGCATAGAACTGACAAAATAAGCATTGGAAAATCTTTCCTACTTGTTAAAAACCATTTAAGAGAGCATCTACTCTTTAGTTTCAAATGTTCCCTATGCTAAAAGCAAACTTTCTAAAACCAGCAGAACCTTTTATCATATGTTCCCTATGTTAGTTCAGTTCATAAATTATAAATGTGAAATCATTTATATTAAAAAAATTGAACAATGAAATCTATTTTCACATCACCATCTAACATTAAAGAGGCAAAACATCGAATGAAACCTGAATTGGTCAAAAATTGTATGAGAAAATATTTTTTAAGTATTAGGGTTGTTGATGGATAAAATATTACAGTCAACAGCTTCAAATCAAACTTGCAATCGGTCGACTTAGAAGCAATAACAAACAAAAGGAAAATAAAAAAAACTTATTATTAATGCTTTATTATTTAGAAACTAAATTAACTTATTTGTTAATTAATATATAGCGGCTGTCATTGGTATTGTCTGGCATTTTATCACAATAGCATTAACTATTATTATTATTAAAACTTAATTTTTTTTTTGGAAAAAGCTTTCATGCAAAAGTTTAGAAAGTTTATTATTTCTGGTTATTTTCAGTGTCTTTAAGAGTTTCTTGATGCCTTGATACACAAGTAACCACTGCTAAAATTGTCACTGCTAAAATTAAAAAATCAAAGCCTCACCCATTTTCCTACAGAGGATTTCCAACCAACGATTGAGTTATTTATCCATGAGTGAGATTTAATCAAAGTCCCTTTCATTATAACACATTTTGACAGACAAGCTCCTAAAGATGCAAACAATAGATTTAATAAAGATAACAACAGTCAAGCTCAAAGTCTAAGATATATATATATATATATACATACATATGTATATATATATGTATATATATATATATAATATATATATATATATATATATATATATTATATATTTTAAAATATATATATTATATATTTTAAAATATATATATATATATATATATATATATATATATATATATATATATATATATATATATATATATATATATATATATATATATATATATATATATATATATATTATCAGGCCTTGTTTTAAAGCATTACCCCTAGAGCGATTTACATACGCCTTAAGTAATTTTTACGTACGCAATAATTGCTTGGAGCTGTTTTGGTTAAGCTACTTTTTATCATTTTTTAACTTTTAAATTAGCGGTAACATAAAAGAAGTAATTAATTTTTAAAAAAACCACATTAACTTTTAAATAACGATATGTAAAAATATTTATTACAAAAAAGAAGTTACGTTAAAAATAATTGTACTAACTTTTCATTGCAATATATCTTACCTTTTTATAACAATTAATTTTAGGCTAAACTTTTATTCAAATATTTAGTAACATGAAAAATTGTTCATCAATCCTTAACTACAAATTTTTTGCAAATGCTTTTAATAAAAAGTAGTAATATTTTAAAGTTTCCAATCAAGTTATATTATAAGGTAAAGAAATCACAAGTAGACTATAACATCTGCTAATGACACTAATATTACGTTAAATATATTTATATAATGGAGGTTTCACATTACAGACTCTATTAAATTAATACTAAGACACATTTTAGTTTAATGACAGTCTCTATTTTTTACTAATGACTATGTATTTTTCTGTATAAAATAAGACAAACTAGTATATTAAAAACCTAGTATATTTCTATTCTCTCCAAATTGTTTAAAGTTCAAATATGGATTGTATTTTGAAGGACAAAAGATTTACTTTGAAAACTTTTAAATCCTGGGACTTTGCTAATGCTTTTCTAATTGAAACTATCACACAAAAAAAGAAGACTTGCATTATTAAAATCAAATGTAATTTATGTGATCTTCATCAAAATAAAATATTATCCAAAACCAATAGTGCCGTAAGGGCAGCTGCCCTACAGTTTATAAATGACACAAGTCATGTTAAAATATTTTAACATGTTATTATATTTTATTTAAGTTGGTATACAAATAAAAATAAAAATATAGTTCAATAAATAAATTAAATTTGTTCTTATCAAAGATTACCTCATATTTATTCTTTTTTTATTTTATTATTCCAAGTTAAATTGCTTACAAACGAAAAAAAAAAGAGTTTTGTAATTATACATAGAATGAAAAGTTTATTTATAAATTAAGGAACTTAATTTTTAATGAACAAATTTTAACGAACATTTATTATAAACGGATAGAATTCAAATTATTAAATATACTTATATTATTTTAGTTAAGTATTCTTTTAAGTTTGCATGATTAAAGTGTTGCGTAGAAGTATTGTTTTTTGTTTTAAGAATAATTAACAAAAGAGTTTGCATAATTAAGACTTATATTTAATTTAATTTTTTTTTTAAATTCCTAAAATTCAAAAATAAAAAGATTTAATTGTTAAAAACGATTTTTCTCTATAGCTCTTTTTCTTTGTGATTTGTTTAAAATGTAAAACATTTTTACGATAACGTAAAAAATTTATGAATTAAATTCCTGGCGAACGCGTTTTAAACTACGTATCAAAAATATGCTCAAAGCAGACATGAAAACTTTTTTATATTTTTATATAACGCAAGTTAAAACGCTAAGCAAGATAAATTTAAAAAATATTTAAAAACCTAAATTATTCTTTGCTAGTCAAAACAAAATTGCTGTTTAAATAATTAACAAGGTTATCAATGTTAATATATTTTGTTTACTCCAGAAATTTTTAAAAATAAAAAAATCATAATTATTTTTTATTCAATAACGATTTATAAACAATAATTATTCAAAAACAAATTTCAGAAATTATTTATTGTGGTAGTTAAAACACTTAACGTCTATAAAAAAAATAAAGATAATTTTATGACGTCAAATATCGCGTTAAGTTAATGCATTAAGCACTTTTTTATTTAAAACAAATATATATATATATATATATATATATATATATATATATATATATATATATATATATATATATATATATATATATATATATATATAAAATGTATATATATACTTATAATAAACTTTTGCTCAAAAGTAATGAAAATAGGTTTTATTATGATTAATTTTCAAAGAAGGTCACCCACAACACAAAACTTTTAAAATGGTATAAAAGTAGTATTTACAGGCAGTAAGCATTATGACTTTCAGAAGAATTTTCTTGAATCTTATGAAACTTTCTAGAATTTTCTGGACTGTTTTTAGAAATCTCTGAAACTTTCTAGAAATTTCCGTCTTCTAGAAGTTTATAGAAACTAGCAACACTTAGACTATATAAACTGCCTGATTGAGCAATGCTAATAATTATATGTGAACCTGTATTTGCCAGATGGCAGTCAAATAATATAGAAGTGCAATAGCACTTATATTATATTATAATTGCCTTTCAGAAATATATGATTTATTTTCAATCATGATGAATACTTATAGTTTATATATATCTTATAAGATAAGTTTATAGCTAATATATATATTATAAGATAAGTTTATAGTTTATATATATCTTATAAAATAAGTTTATAGTTTATATATATCTTATAAGAAAAGAGCTTCTGAAAGTATTAAAAGCACTTTTCTTATCTTATAAGAAAAGTGCTTCTACTACACTTTTTTATATAAGATAAAAAAAAATCAATCAAAAGGAGATTTTTAACAATTTTATTCTTTATATTCACTTAGACTTGATATTCCTGGTAATTGTTTACCATCAAAGTGTGACCAGTCTTCATTTAGAAGGCTGGTCACAGCTCTTTAAAATAAACAAAAAGAAGTAAAGTTACAAGCACTAGATCTACAAGATGGAAAAAATATTTATGTTGTTAGATACTGTTGTTAAAAGTATAACAGCAATTCTCAATGAATACAGTTTATGGAAGTGTATAAAGTTGATTACAGCGGACACTACAACTGTAAAGACTGGAAGAAGAAATGAGATTGTCAATCAGTTTTACTGAAAAGAAACTGAAAGAACCATAATTCATTGATTGTCAACATCATGTTCTTTAACAAGTCCTTTGCATGATAATGGATGAAGTACTAGGAGGAAACAATATGTCACCCAATATCTAATATCCTTGAGCTACAAACAGCTCAGAAAGAATTTAAAGAATGGTAAAGAAACAATTACTGAAACAACAGGATGGTGTGATGATATGAAATTTCTAAATAGAAATTCCATGACTGTCTCACAGTAAATGAAAAAATTAAAACAAGCCAATATACATAATGCTATATATCAGTAGAAAGCTCTAAGTCGCCTTTTTCAGAAAATATATAGCTTGTTATAGCTTGTTATGCCGCTATTATAAAAAAAATATAGATAGTTGTAACTCCATTGAGCTTTAGATATAATACGTGCATCTCCATAAATACTGTGTTGCTCTAAATTGTTTTTAATCTTTCAAGGGTTTAACATACTTACTCATGCTGAAAGTCAAAAGAAATATCGTGAAAAGCAGTTTTAAAAAATTGGCGAAAAAAAAGTTAAAGAAAAAGAATCAAAAAGGAGAAAAGAAAGAAGACTTGCTAAATTGGAGGATCAACGAGAAAAAGAAAGGCTACGAAAGAGAAAAAGCAGGCAAAAAATAGCAAAATCAAAATCTGTAGTTGTTACATCACCCCCATACAAATCTGCGAGCACTGATGATCTTTACAGCACCTTTTCAAAATCTTTACTTTCATTTCTTTGGCATTATTTTATTAAACAGAAACAATCAAAGACATATCGTGATCATAAAATCCAACTTCAAAGTAATCCAGACACAGCTGTTATTCAAGTAGATTTTGCTGAAAATTTTTCAACTTTGTGGCAAGATGAAGTGCAGTCAGAACATTGGCACAAGAGTCAAGTTACTGTGTTTACTGCTGTATTTTGGTATCAAAAGTCATGCTCATCAGCTGTCATAGTTTTAGATGATTTAAGCCACTCGAAAGAATCTATTCTTTTATTTTTTCATACTTTGTTATCTAACCATATTAAATCAAGTATTAAAATACTACATGTTTGGACAGACGAACCGAGTAATCAATTCAAAAATCCTTTTTTTGCATCAGCAATACCCTGGTTGGAAGAACAGCATGATTTAAAATTATTCTGGAACTTTTTTGCTGCTTCACATGGGAAAGGACCGGTAGATGCTATTGGTGGGACTGTTAAAATAATAACAACGCAAAAAATAATTCAGAGAAAATTTATAATAACTGATGCCATAACTTTTGATGAAGCTGTTGAAAATGTGACTAATTTCAATGTCTATTTTGTTTCTATGGAAGATGTTATAAATACAGTAAAAATGATGTGCCTGTTCGAAATTTAATTTTAAAAATGTTATTTAACTATAAATTTTGTAAGACTAATGCCTAAACTTTCTGTTTAATGCCAAGTTAATAATTCAGTTCATCCATATTAGCTGAATTGCGGTGTTGATCTAAAAACAATGAGAAAATTTTTGGTCACGCTGTGACATTTTTTTTTTTTTTTTTGCATAAATGAGAGGCTTATATATCCACACAAATTTTTTTTCTTGTTTTTTGTAGCACCTATTATAAGCTAACTAAATAGCAAAAAAAAAATGTTTTTATACCTATTTTAACATTAAAATAAATATTTTTATACCTATTTTAATATTACCTAAATTAAATGCAAGATGGAATTACCGAGCAATACTAGTTCTTTTGGCTTCAATATTTGTAGATTCATCTCTAACAGGTGGGCACACCATTGCTTTACTGACCAAATCTACAATGCTGATGATTATTAAAAGCTATGTACTAACTTGCATGGTCACAAAAAAGCATTAAAATCAGTAAAAAAGTTTTGGAATTAGGAACCATAGAAACTGGAAATTCTCAAAATAAATCAGTGTGCAAAACCAGGAATCAAGTATCTTTATGATCATTTAAATAAATGCAAAAAGAAAGAGACTTCCAGATTTATTTTGTCTAACAAAGCAATAAGAATCGTACATTACACTTTAATTAAGTTGAGTACTAAACAATAATTTTTTGATATGTACAGTTGTTTTTCGTATTTGTAGAATTGTTTTTTCAAGTTTGTTATTTTATATTTATTTGTAATTTAGAGTGGTATGATGTAACAATAAACTGTTAAATGCTTAAAACTACATTCTTTTTTGATTAAAAATTAGAATTAAAAATTTTAAGTTTGTGGGTGAGCTTTTTCGAAAAGAAAATCAAATTAATGTTTTTTTCATTACTTTTGTACAAATATTCATGGTTTTTTGACTAAGGAGAATGGGGTCACAAATAAGTCATAACTCTAACATATGTGTGTGTGTGTGTGTGTGTGTGTGTGTGTGTGTGTGTGTGTGTGTGTGTGTGTGTGTGTGTGTGTGTGTGTGTGTGTGATATATATATATATATATATATATATATATATATATATATATATATATATATATATATATATAAATGTATATATGAATGTATTGTTTAATAAATATTTAATTTATAAACATCAATACATGATACGTGTGTGCGTGTGTGTAATTCTTACTATGTACAGTATCATAAAAAAATTTGAATCAATGTAAACCTTTACCTTTTTCAACAATAACATCAGGACCAATAACAACATTTGGACCTATCTGAACATCGTCATCAATTTTTGCAGTAGAGTGCTTGAAAAAAAAAATCACAGTTTTGCTGAAAAATATTTTTTAGTATTATAAAAATTTAAAACTTAAAAGCACAAATAAATATATAACAATCTGAACTCAAAAATATGGATACTTTTAGAAATTTATTATCTCAAAGTAAAATTAAAAATTATTCTATATAGACTAACTAAACAAATTTTAAAATAATAAAAAATATTGTTAATTAAAATATATTAATTTAATATATTATTTACAAATTTTATATATTTATTAACAAGGTTTTCAACTATAAAAATAACTCACTACTAAAACATTTCCAACATTTCCTGGACCTTTGTATAACTCATCTGAGCTATTCTTTTTCAATGCATTTAAATATAAACATGTCCCAGTTATAAAATCTTTAGGTTGCCCAATATCCATCCAGTAACCTATATAGGGAAATAAATAAAGTCAGATTTGTTTGACAAATATGTTGAAAACTTAAAATTTTATTTCTTTTGAAACTAATTTGTTTTAACAATCTGCAAAAAGCTTTCAAAAAAAATTATGAATAAAAATGCAATTGGTAATTTTGTTTTTCAAAGTAAAAATTTTAAAAACTATAGCAAAAAAAAAAGGTAGTAAAATAAGACTAAATTAAATTAACTTTTAAAAAATGTTTGTATAGGTGTCATAAGGGCCTGGAAAATTTGATAAATATGTGGTTTATGATAAATATTTTAAGAACACTTAAATTTTAATCTAAAAATTTTGCTAAAGTATGAAAATGTCTTTTTGTAAAATTTAAAACTAAAAATTAAAAAATTAAATTAAAATTAAAACTTTAGTAATAAATAATAATAAAGTTGAATATTTTTAAGATGTTTATAATAACAACATTTAATAGGGTAAGGCGGGGTGAATTCGTCACGGAGCGAATCCGTCACTTATGCGACTCAGCTTTAAAATAATAATGCATAAAAACTAAGAAATCTATTAACTAGGTTTTTTTCGAAACTTTTTCAACTGATATTTGTAGATTATTACTAAATAAATGTTTTATATATTTACCTCCAATTATTCTTTAAATATTGCAAATAAACATTGAAGTTGAAAAAATATTTTTCTGCTTAAATGCCTATCGTCAAAAAATTATCAAAATACGCAATGTTTTGACCACAAAGTATATATTTATTGATTGATTGATGTCAGTAGTTTTTAAATAATAATTTAAGTTACTATGTTTTTGCCTTTGGAATCGTCACATAATGATTGTTAGCACATGCTCAAATGAGGGGCAACTTCGTCGATGAAGAAAAGTTAATACGAAAAATAAATTAGGTTGTTTCATCATGCAAATTTTTAAACTACCGAGCGCCGTTTGAAAGAAAAACAAATTGTGATCAAAATGCGCTCCAAAGCTTTAGACATTTATAAGAGAAAGGCTCTTCAGAATATATTAATTTACAGTTAGCTTTTAAAACTTTTTGAAGTTTTAATTATAAACACGACTTTGATGTGAAACATGTAAACAAACTTATTATAATGTATAGTCTGAAATATATATACAGTAAATAATAAGTATATAAAACATATATATTATATATTTTTAGGCTATCCACTGCCTATTTTTATACATATTTAAAATATGTATAAGTATTAAATATTGTTAAAATATTATTGAAATTCAATAAATATTATTAGAATAGTTAATATTATTTACTAATTTTACATTAAAATAAGACTTTTATTATATATTATATAGCAAAGATCTTATTCTATTTTAAAAAATATATATAATATTATACTATTTAGTATAACTATTATATATTGTAAAAATTAAATAGTAAGTATATAGTATAAAATGTGTGTACAGTATAAAATATCTGTTATAAGTATTTTTTGTAGTATTTATTATAAACAAATGTATCATTCATTGGAAAATATAAAGCATTTATATATATATATATATATATATATATATATATATATATATATATATATATATATTGTGTACATTTATATATATATATATATATTGTGTACATTTATATATATATATATATATATATATATATATATATATATATATATATATATATATATATGTATATACATATTGTATATATATATATTTATTTATATATATACCAATATAAAAAAAACTAAGAATGTATTATTACTTATGGTAGATTTTAATAACATTATTTTTCATGTTAAAATGTATAGATGGTACGTAATTATAAACCAAAGCGACAAAAAAATTATAATGCAGAAATTTTTCAGGCTGCTCTGCAAACCATTATAGATGGAGAAACTATATCAACTGCAGCAAAACAATTTAATATTCCACGTACAACGTTGATTGATAAATTACGGGGAAAACATCAAACACATTCTATAGGTGGTAAAACAATTTTCTTTAAAAATCAAGAAGAAACTCTTGTTCAAAGGCTGCTTTATATGGCTGATAGAGGGTTTCCTCTCACAATAATGTGGTTAAGATCTGCTGCTTATTTCTGTGCCAAAAGCTTGTGTAGACGTCATTTATTACAGAAGTCCATTCCAAAAAGTTGGCATAATAAATGCTTGGCATCACGTGATTGGTTTCTCTCATTCCGAAAAAGGCATACTCAGTTGACACTAAGAATTCCTGAAGGGCTTTCTCGAGCAAGAGCAGAAGCATTTAATGAGAATCGCGTTCAGACATTTTTTAACAATTTACAACCTTTTTATGAACAGCTTGACATAAAAAATTATCCAAATTTGATTTATAACTGTGATGAAACTGGCCTTTCATCTGTGCCAAATGTCTCTGTTAAGGTAATAGCATTAAAGGGTTCTCATGAGGTACAAAAGTTAACTATTGGTGAACATGGCACACTAACAACATACCTGGCCACTGTTAATGTAGCAGGAGACAGCTTACCACCATTTTTCATATTTAAGGGAACAAAGATTCCAGATGCATCTAAATTTCCTTTGGGTACAAAAGTGCATTGTAGTCAAAGTGGATATATTGATCAAAAGATTTTTATTGCTTATTTACATCATTTTAATGAGTTTTGTACAAAAGTGAATGGGAAAAAAGTATTGTTATTTTTGGATGGCCACAAAAGTCATGTGACTATTGAAGCGATTGAATTAGCAATAAAGATGGATATTGAAATAATATGCATTCCACCTCATAGTACACATCGCCTTCAACCACTTGACACACATGTTAATAAAGTAGTTAAACATATATGGTCTGAAGCCTTGTCTAATTACTTAGCTGAAAATGATGATATTTCTTTGCCTCGTTGCAGCTTTCACATTATTTTTAACAAAATATGGCCAAATATACTTACAAAAAGAGGATTGATTGTTAATGTGTTTTACCATTGTGGTTTGCATCCCCTAAGAAACCCAGTAAAAGATTTCAAATATAAAAAAGCAGAGGTTTTTAATAAAGCAACAATTCACCAGGGAGACCAAAATTTATCTATTTTAAGGACTATTATACCTTCTCCTGAAAAAAAAGGAAACCTACTCATTCAAAACGCCACATTGCTCTTATTACATCATCAGGTAATGTTAAGTTAATAAAAGAGCCTCCTGCTAAAAAGGCTGCAATAAAAAATGTGGTCAGTGTTAACAGAAGTCAAAAAAGGATCACGATAAATCAGTTAAAACCAAATCAAAAAAGACTTTTTTTTCAGCTGATTCTGATCACCCAAGTTCTTCAAGTTTAATTCTAAAAAATAACACTGATAAAGACTTTTGTTGTGTTTGTGCAGCTGTTTGGGCAGAAGCAAGTGAAGATTGGCTTAAATGTTTAAATTGCAATCAGTGGGCATGCAAAGGATGTTTTGGAGTTGATACATGTACAAATTGTGTGCAATGAACATATAAACGTCTTGTAAATTTTTAAATAGTCATAGTAGTGATATGATTTTTGTTATTTAAATAGTCATAGTAGTGATATGATTTTTTGTTGCTTTAACGTGCTATTTTTTGCGCTAGCGCGGTTATATGGTTTTCATTTATGCCAAAATCATTATTTGATATTTTCTTGGAAAAAGTTTAACAATTGATGTCCTTTTAGATGTCCTTTTTGATGTCCTTTTTGATATCCTTTTACCCTAGGCCACTGCAGTCGAGGAGGCTACTTTAGTTGTGTTTACAACCCTCTTTCAACTCTATAACTCCGAAACACGAACCTTGACGATCAAGGTTCGTGTTTCGGAGTTATAGAGTTGAGAGAAAAACAAGTTGAGCGCAGTACTACCAGGGACGCGGTGGGAATCGAACTCGCAACTTCTAGGTTTACTTCTAGATTAGGGAAATCATCCTACTGTGACCTCAAAAATGTTTTATGTCAAAGTTTTTTTCTCCTAGGTAAGTTGGCTTTACCACTAGAAAGGAATTTCGTCTATCGCCCGAGTCACGAATTTTTAAATTAGTTTAGCTGTACTGACGAATTCGCCCCGTAATTGACAAATTCGCCCCTCATGACTTGATGATGAAAAAATCAAATTATACGCTAAAGTTAACTTTAGAATTCATTTTGATTCAATACATTAACAAAATAGAGACCCTAATTAATAAAAAAAAGTTTTTAAACTAGAAAAGTTCACTTATTTATATGCGAACTCATTTTGTTAAAGTAAAACATGACGAACTCGCCCCGCCTTACCCTAAAAAAAAGTTATTTTTTCAAAACAAACAATCATTATGTAAACACTTTCTAAAATGCACACAATATTTTTATTAAATGAAAAATTTAATAATAAACAAAATATAGAGAACAACCTTTTAACTCAAAGCAATATAATTCACCATCTTTAGCCATAAAAGGGAAGACTTCTTTTTCAATTGACATTGGCTTTGGCTAAAATAATAAATTAAGTAAAAAGATTTCTGCAACTATAATGACTGTGTTAATATGATATACCATAAAGTGATTATGATTATGTTTGTATTAAAAAAACAACCATGTTTATATGATAGAATATGTATTAAATGGAAATTACCATGAACAAATTTGCAACTAGATAAGACCCCAACCCAAGCTTTGATAGCACTTAGTAGAGTTTAGTATACTTTTTTTTTATTTATAAATTAACTTGTTTCACTGCATATTGCAGTAAATGTATCAGATTTTCAAATGTATCAGATCTTCAAAACACTGATTAATGCTAATAAAAATCCTTTGAGAATTTATGACTACTCAACTCTGGTTATCATACAAATAAAAATTATTTGAGAAATTTTTTATTTTTAACCAATTTTGACTTTCTATTTATCTGTTTTTCTATGCGAATAGAAAAAGAGAAAAATAATCATATCTAAATAATAGTAAATTGTAATAATAATAAAAACAATTTTAATTTTTTTCAAAAGCTATTATGCTAAGTTATTGTCAAGTCCTTAATACAAGGTACAAGGAGAAGGTGGGGACAAGGTGGGAGGGGAATTTTAGTTTAGATCTAATAAATGGGGGAGGGGTTGTGGTTAATAAAAAGGATGGGGGGAATTTTTTCATGTTACAATTTAAGTATTTTATATATTCAGTTTATAAATCCAAAATAATATTTTTTACAAAACACATATAAAACTATAAAATTCTAGCAAGGCTTGCGGTCAAATACAAATTTTCTAACAGTTGTTTTATCCTTATTTCAATAGGATTTAATATGTTAATATAAGTTTTATACTTTGGTAAGAAATAAATCAAAATCTTATTTTTAACAAATCAAAATTTACTAGGTTGATTATTTTTAAATCCTGTTTACACTAGAAGTTTTTGTTTTTAACAAATCAAAATTTACTAGGTTGATGATTATTAAAGCCTGTTTACACTAGAAGTTTTTGTTTTTATCAGAGACTGAAATAATTATTTTCAAATTTTTAAATCCAATTTTCACAGAATTTTTTTTTTAGTTTACAGATAAAAATTTTTTGTTGATTACAACTAAATATTAATAAAGTTTTAATAAGGTTGGAAAAATTTTCAGAGAATAATTAAACGCCCCTCCCCCCTGTATTAAGAACTTGAGAGTAAGCTTTAATGATTTAAAATTTAATGCTTATTTTTTCTTTATTTATTCCTAGTAATTGTTTTATTTCCATATATAGTCATTGTCTTTTTTTCCTTTTATTTACCTCCCCAAGTCCCAGGGGTCCAGTATAACGAGTCAACTCTATCTTTTTTTAATTTAATTTTTTTATTAATTGTTGATATATTCTACTATCAACTCTATAACCAAACAGGAAACTTTGAAAAGTCACTGTGTGGGAGTTTAAATTATATACTTTTGACTTTTCTACTTACTATTGTTTGAAATTTTAAAAATTTCAATTTATATTTTTTCATCAGAAAATATTGTCATCAATAAAAAATGTATTAATTTTTCTTTTTGTTACATTTAATTTAATTTTTTAAAAAAACATCAAATTTTTTATAAAAAATTCAATGACAATGATTATTCTTAGTACAGACTCATATATATGCAGGCGCGGATCTAAGGGGTGGCCAATGTGGCCATGGCCACATAGTTTAAAATCAGATAGATTTATTAGAAAATTTATTTATTGTTTATCAAAGATCTTTTAGAACTTTTAGAATTAATTATTGAAATATTTTTGAATATATGTTATCAAAAACGAATATAAGCAATTTTAAGACTTTTTTCGTCTAGTGGTTATTGATAAACTACGTCATGCTAAATTTAAATTTTAAAAACATCGCAGTAAACATTGCTAAAATCTCTGCAAAAGAGAACCAAATTCTGTGTGACGTACTTTATGGATAACCCTTAACAGCTTATGGCCATAGAGATAAAATTTAACGGTGACCAACTTCAGGCCTTGCGATAAAGCGTCGGGCAATGTGAATTTTACGTCGTCCAAAAGCGATTTTGCGTGTAGCTAGGGCTATTTACGTTGAGCAAAAAATTTTTTGTTTGAGTATATTTAAAGATATTTTAGAGCGGAATTTTAATGAAGTAATTTATGATTATTTTAACATTTAATAAAGTATTTTAAAACCCGCACGCAGTTAATATAAAAGTTTGAATTAAAAAAAATTAAATATGCTTATTATTTACAAGTAGAAAAAATTCAGATTAAAAAAAAAGTTTAAATCTTTTAAGCTAACATTTTAATAAAATTATTCAGCAATAGCAAAGTTGTCGATAAAATTGAACAAAAATACTTTCTTTTAGTTTTAGATTTTAAACTTAAATAATTATTTTACGGGGGTTTGTTAGGTTTTAAAATTATTCCATAGATTTAAAAATATTTATTAACGGTTAGACGTATTTAAAGTATTTAAGAGTAATTTCGAGGAAACATTTTAAAAATTGGTGAGCGCAAAGAAAAAAAAAAAAAAGATTAATATTAAAACGTATTCTACTTGATTCAATAAAAAAGTACAGTTAACTCAAAAAAATTACTTAAATAATAACGATCGCTTTTATGTTAAAAGTTACCGAAACTCAACGAAGCGTGCTCAAGATCTGCTGCTGAAAAATAAAACGCCAATAGTTTTTCGAATAATTTTTAAGAATAATTTTTTCGCTGAAATATTTCTTTTATACCTATAAGATTTTTATTCTAACATTTTATTTTATTTTACTAGAAATAAAATTCCTTGTTAACATTAAAAATCTATTCAAAACGTTTGTTTAAGTTTTTTATTAATACGAACGATTGTGCTTATCAACCGCTTTATGAAAATAAATAAAAATAAATAAATAAATATTATATAAAATCGCTTGTAAAAATATTAGCTATTGCACAGTTTTTAATTGTAAAATATTAAAGTTTCTAGTTTATTACTCGCTGACTTTTTAAAAAGAAAAAATAATTATTTGAAAAACTTTAAATTACATATTTAAGAAAAAAAAATCAAATATTAGCATATTTTATAATCTTTTTTTAATTTAAGTTATAATGTTTTTTATTAGTTTAGTATAGACAAAACGTGACAAATGTCGAGAAAATAAACAAATGTTTTTACATTTTAAAAAACGAAACATTCCAAAACATTTTTAAATAATAACATTTCTGCATAAACGATTTAAAGTAGTTTTGCGGTAATTAAGTAAATTGGTGCCTTTAATGTCGATAAATATGAAAAGCAAATAAAAAGAATTTAATGACGTCAAAAATCACGTCGTGCTTATGTGTCGCGCAGTTCTTATTCATCGCAAGGCCTGCAACTTAGCTTCGGATTTTTTTGCTAGAGGAAAATCCCTGAAAATTTCATTGTGTCTTCCGTAATTTACTGAATTATAGTCATTAGATTCTATAATTCATAGAGATTCCTGCCATGGCCACAACGGTTCCTATTACACGTTACCAACGATTTATTCTATCAAAAAATGCTCTCAAATAAATAATAAAATTAAGATCTCTCAACCGTGAAAATAAAACTTGGCCATACAGTTGTTTTTAACGTGTCCGATTTAGAAAAATGTTCTGTTAAATAGAAGCTAACAAATTAGGGTTTTTTATTTGCTACCGTGAGATCATCATTAGTATTGATTTCCACATTTCTTTAGAAACTAAGATAACATAACTTTAATTACTTGATTATTTAAACATAAAATATGAATCCTTATTTAAATAAAGAATTAGTTGCTTGTGCAATAGAAACAAAGCATAAAGCCTATGCTTTTTGCCTATGATAAGCCTTTGTTTATTTTAAGCTTTATAAAAGTTTTATTTAATTAAAATAATATCACAAAATGGACCTACATGTTTATGCTGGATTTTAACTTTATTTATTGGTGTTTAACTAATTAACACATTTTACTACAGATTTTTTTTCTTGATAATGTGTATGAAATTGAACTATTTATTAAACACTCAAATAAACTATAAAAGTGATTTAGTTTTTTAATAAGAAATTATGGTATATACTAAAATGTTATATAAGTAAAAAAAAAAAAAAATAATTCTTATAGTTAATCTATTTTTGTTTTGTTATTAATACTACACTTTAGTATATTATACTTATTATTAAATTTAAATATATTTTACTATTTCTATCAGGTCTACTAAAAATGTAAATTGTCTTTATAGCTCAGTATCTTTGGTTTTAAATGACAGTAAGCATACTTCAAAAATACTAAGATTACTGACGTCAATTGAATTATTTGAAAGTATAAATTTTTACACAAGGTATGATTATTTTTTTCAACATAGATTTAAAATTCTCAGCTTTCTAAATTTGTTATTTATTGCTGTTTTGTTTAAATGCACTGATAGTTTTTCAACAATTAAAGATAATACGATTTCTGAACTTTTTTTAAAAGAAGCGTATTTAAATTACTTTGATAAAACATGTCATCTTTCATTTGCCTAATAGCATTATCTAATGTTATAAAGCAACCTATTGAATCAGTAATCGTAAATCATAGTTTTTTTAATACCCTTATAAAGCCTCGTATCCAAAAATTAAATTGTTTAATTAATATTTTGTAATGATACAAATTTACTCAGTATCAAAAAATAAAATTTTTTAAGTCTAGTTTTCCACCTACAGATAACAAATTCAATTCAGTCTAAATTATTCTTTCCTACTGTTTCTAAGAACACCTCAGATAAGTCTGATATTTGTTATAAAACAGTTAAAACTAAAGTGTTTATCTCAAAAGATACCAACAACAGTGATAAAAACACTCTTGAATCTAATGTTCCACTAAAGGAAAACAACGTTATTGACATTGTTTATTAAATACAAATCAGTTAGCATCTTATTCAAACTATGATGATTCATCATATTATCTGTGTGGTGCAAAATTAAAATCAGGAACAAATGATAATGAACTGTTATCTCTAATAAATAATGTCTAAGTTCCAGATAAATGCTTCCAATTCCCT